GAGACGTTTATCAAGGCCCATATCAACCATATTACAAAGGTTGAGTTCTTTCTAGCCTTTACAGCAGCATACAAGGAAACAATGACAGTCCTAAACTGTCAGTCTGGATTCCGCGGAGCTGGCCTAGTACCATTTAACCCGCAAGCAGTGCTTTCAAAGCTTGACGTAAGGTTACGGACTCCAACTCCCCCTCGGACGTGTAGTGCCAACTCCCTCCCCTGGGTGTCCCAGACCCCTTCCAACCCAACTGAAGCCCTTTCACAATCAACTCTTGTACGAAATCGTATAGCCTGTCATCAAGGAAGCTCGCCAACTCCACTTTTTCAAACAGTTGCTGCGTTAGCAAAGGGTACAGAGCGAATGGCACATGAGATGACCCTTTTGTCTGCTGAGGTCCGTACCCTTCGCGCTGCAAATGAAGCCCTAAGTAAACGCCGTAGGGCTAAAAAGACTCGTGTCCGCCAAGGAGGGGCACTTATAGTAGAGGATGTACAGGATATGTTAGCTCAGGAGGATGTAGATGAGCAAGTACGACGCGACATGCGTGAGGCGGGGGTTGGTTATAAGGAGGGGCAACCTTCTAGGCGGCGCTGTAGAACTTGTGGAAAAGCTGGTCATAACGCGCGAACTTGTCAAGAAGTTATAGATATATCTAGTTCGTCAGATATAGAGAGCGATAATTAATTTAATATATTGTGGTTGATTTATTTAGGTGTAAAGTTCTGTGCCAAGAAAAAGTGATCGACTCGGTGATATGATCGACTCGCTGATAAACCACGTTATATATATATATGAATATATAAAACAGTTAAATAATTTAAAGAGTTAAAGGAGAAAGACAAGATAGAAGGAGTACAACCACTCGGTTAAGTACTTGGTTGAGAGAACTAAATAAATCGAAGTGTGGTACTAAAAATTAGTTGTACATACGGAACCTACAGAAATCGAGAATATGTAACGAAACAGAAAAAACTTTTGCACCAGCCAAACTCTGGTGCATTTGTTTCTTCAGAATAGTCTAATTTGCATGCAAATCAGGAAACTTTTGCATGCGTCCTTGGGGTCCTCCAGCCCGTGCAAAGCTCAGACTTTTGCACCTAATTTGCATGGAGAGATTTGCGTAGCCAAACACCCCCTTACTGTTGAAACCCTCTAAATACTTAATATCCCCAAAATGTTTTCACACAGAACCAAGGATTTGTCACAGACTCACAGAATGTGCAGTAGTGATTTTGCGAAGCACTCCTTGCAGCTCTTCAGACTCTTGAGTAGAGTTCTCAGTGTAGTCTGACGCCTTTGTCCGATGCTCTGCTTTTGCAGCATCTTTTGAGTCAGTAACGTCGTCATAGGTAGCTTTGTTGGGTTCATCACAAGTGCCAAATGACCATGGCCATAACTCGCTGATCCCAAATAGTTCCACAACCACCACAAAAACATCAAGGTTCGTTCGCCCTCGAATTATCCTGCTTTCCAAAGCACCTAGCCCATGGGTCCCCACCGTCATTTACTTGGCCTCCTCGTTAACGGTCGTTATATGATTTCCTCACAACCCTCTTGCTAAGCCTTCGATAAACTTTCAATAGAGCTACAGCCCAAAAACTATTCCTAGACCCAAATTTCTGTTTTTTGAAAAAATTGCTCGTCGATCTTACGGCTTAATAAGTACACATTCTAAGGTTACCCTTTGGAAAAAAGCACTACACAAACTAGAAAGAAAACTTATGGAGATTTGGTTCTGCACCTTTCTGCACAAATTCATCCAAGAAAGGCCATAAGTGATATGGTAGGATTGCATCTGACCTCCACCCTCCTGAACCTCGAGTATTCCCTTATTTACAGCCAGTATTCAGTCCTCCGACAATGCAGATGACCGTCAAAGTGACTCTGGCGACGAATATCGCTATCGCCTGGCGGCTGATGACCTGGTAGAAAGTAGTGTGGATAACATGTCTCAAGGTATAGACGATATCGATTTGTCCTACGACCGGAATGCTAATCATATTCCAGACAAAGCTAAATTCAATAACCATGATAATAGATGGGAGCCTATGTCTGCTAATTAAACGTGAGATGACGAAGATGATACCACTAAAGCCGATGCTCATAGTTAAGTGTATAGCCAGATCTCAAGATCTGTAGCTAAGTTTGGCAACATCCGTATCTTGTCAATGAGCACCAACAGTAGCCTGCTCAACCAAGATTGGATAATTACAGACTATAATAAGTATATCACCACCAGAATTCCATCGACAAGATCTTGACTTTCGCTGACTTCAAAACCAAGCCCACCCCAGTCAAGCTTGAACCTCGCTCCACTTACCGTCGAAAAACATCATATTGTCGAAATCCCCTGCAAAATACATCAAATGGCATCTCACTCCACAAAGTCGCTGGGGTATAGATCTAACATCTTCAAACATCACTTTATGTCTCAACCTCGTCTTCTTTTTGTCACAACATCCTTAGGTCTCAAAGATCCACAGCCACCACTGAAGGACTCGTGTTGTGATGTAAGAAGTCCCAATTTCTAGAACCCTTCAGCTTTCACCCTCTTTATCCGCATTTTATCCTACCAATATTCCAAATCCACCATCTTGTTACTTTTTCCGCAACTCCTCGTATCTCGAATCTTTTGTGCTCAGGTATGAAGAACTGTGGTGTGATGTAAGAGCTCGAGAAGAAAAGAAATCACCAACTTTACCAAATCGTGTCTAGACTTCTCCTAGTTAGGCACAAGATACAGTACATTACCAAGACGAATCCTCTCAATTACCCCCCAAGCCAGTGCAGGAAAGTGAAGAGAATTAATTACGTGGACAGTCCAAGCTCCAATGTTCGTCCTACCCCTTGCCCAACCTAAGCGAGCCATGCCTGCCATCACTCACCACTCTATATATGATGTTACATCCACGCAACAAGTACCACGCCCAACATTCCTGCCACCCGCAAGCCTCACCCACCATCCTCAACTCTACCCAGCGAAGCCTCACCACAATGCCTCTCCGCTAGTTCTCCGAGGAAGCCACCGCCGTGGAGGCCAGAATCGCGTTCCAAAACTCCACAGTGAAATAAAAAGGAAGAGAATAATCCAACTCTGCCGACTTGAAACTTTCAAACCCGAAAACTCTCAAAGCACTTAAACAACGCCAGCATCTATAATATAAAACCTATAAGGTCTAATCTCGAACGACTAAAGATCTTTAAACAAGCGGTTCCTCGCCCTTCAAGACCTTCGTGTGTACTAGGTACCTGGAGGGTTTACCACTTATGGCGAAATATAATCGGCTGCCACGCTGGTGGGATATTGTTAAAATAACTACATGATTACATCCGCTCAATCACCTCAAAACCCAAAGCTAACTACACCAAGAATCACACCCATCTACCACCGACCTTCGTGGTGTACCAGGTACCTGGAGGGTTTACCATTTATGGCGAAATACAATCGGCTGGTGGGATATTGTAAAATAATTATATCCGCTTAATCACCTCAAACTTCAAAGCTAAATATACCAAGAATCACATCCATTTATCACCGAAGAAAGCACTACCGTCGAAATCCATACCCTCACATCCCACAACAAGAGCTCAAAAGTTATCCACTGAATCCCTTCACGTAGACTTTGAAGGTTCCATCCGGCCTACCGCCAGCCATAAAGTACGCTTCAGAACCTGACCTTTTTCGGATTCGGAAACCCAATGAGCAGCGCGAAGAGCCATTTCGTATCATAGTTAGTAAGATCAAGCTGGTAACGATGAGTTAAGGAATTTATATTCATGTTTCTTCCATAACGCTATTCCACTGATACCCCGATACATTCTTTTTGGAAGATCTTTTTCTGTATTGTACCTCGTAACCTCGTTTTGGAGATACTGCTGATACCGCTGATACTGCTAATACTGCTAATACTGATGCTGACACTGAAACTACCCTCCACCCACACATCTTCACGTTGGTCCCGAAGAAGATGAGAGAAGAAGGTGAGTAGTAATAAGTGTAGGAGGCAAGATTAATTTCGATTTCGATTTCTGGTTTTGATTCATAAACACAAAGCACAAAATATAGAAAAACAATACTCTAACCCACACCCTCGCTTAACTCAAGCGTAACGATCAGCGTATATGTATCCCTCGCCTTGATCTTTCCCAAATCACCGGAAGAATATCTTAGTTTCTTAGACTAAGTTAGGGTGTTCAGCCATATAGAAGAGAGAAAGAGATACAATATAGTACGTCCATACAGGGCTCAAGCGCATCAAATCAAGTTATATTAAGCCAATTCAAGACAAACCAGACTCATTTCACACCATATCTCGAATTCCTATCTACCCAAGTAGAAGAGTAAGAGTAAAGATAACAAAGGAACTCACAAGACAAAGTAAATTAGACTCACTTCACGCCTTATCTCAACTTTCTATCTAGTAGAGTAAGAGCAAAGTAATAGCAGCAAATAAACCCACCAAACACCTCCACCCCCTGCACCCCCTCACAACTTACTCTTACTCCCCCCCTTCCCCTAGAGAATGAGGAACCCGGGG